ATGATGAAAATTTCTGTAAATCTTATTTCATTGTATTAAAGATAAGGTTCTACCAATCCCAAAGGATCAGACACATTGCTTCTCAGATTATTGAATATTCCAAATCTTATCCAAAGACACGCTACAGCCAATTCTTATTAACTAAACTAAAATTTATTAAAAAACAAAAGAGAGAGCGAGAGAATGGTTAAAAGATCGATATACATACAGACACGAGTTCAATTCATTGAGGTTCAGATTCATAGCAGAGATGGTGAGCTTTGTAGTTGCAAAGAGTTCTTTCAGAAATAGTTCATAGGTTATAGTCCAAAGTCATTGCAGGATGTGCCAGTTTAGGACTGGGATCTCAGCCCTTTTGTCTAAGCTCCCCCTGTATGAAGCCTCAAGCAGATCTGAGATGACAGAATCAGGACCCAAGGATCTTTTATACAATTTCATGTCCTCTTTGACGAGTTGGGAGTTCCTCCAGGAACAAAAGGTCATTAGGATGACTTTGTAGGAAGTTCATCGCTGGTACTTAGCTACCGAATTAACATAAGGCCATTTGCTTGTTCCTCCAGCATTCACAGTACATTTCAAAGAGAGATGAATACCGAGATTTCCCCGTGTTTACAATTCATTTAAACGCTAGGATGTTCTTCTGATCTCTGGACTATCAGAATCCAGCATAGACAGGGCCTGTTGATTACATTGTGGACTCTACTCATACATATGTAAATACAAAACAATAATACAAAAATACAAAAACACAAACATTATCTCCCCACATGTCTTTTGAGGGTTATTTATTTTGCAGGATGTTTAACCCTTTCTGGCCATGCGTCACATGGGCTAACCAGCCTTTTGTTTCTGAGTCATCGGGTCAAATCCAACCCAGATAAGAAGCACCTGTAATAGCTGCCAGTTGTTTGTTGGCCTAATTGAAAGGAAACAGTGGTCTGGGCCCACAGCACTGCTTGGCCCTGTTCTTGCAGCTTCAGCAAAGGAACAATAATAATAGTACCCAGCTCTTATCTAGTGCTGTTCATCAGTCCACTAGACTGCTCTGCCTTCCCAGGCACAGTGCATTCCCTCACACTTGTAGGTGGTCTCCCTAGGTTGACCGTGCCAGTCGCAGCCAGTACGTAACAGCGGGTATGTTACTGTTTCAAGAGAGGCAGGGGAGTCTGAGGCCAGGGGAAAGTCTGCCATGGGTTTGCTCCTGGTGTGGCCTTGGTTTATGTGTTCCCAGTTAATAGTTTGCAGCTAAGGAATAGAACCAGACTGAACACATTCGGGTTCGAGCCTCCAGGGCAGTTACAGATTTAGTGGAGAAATGTGACTGACCCAATGGGGGATAGAATCAAAATAAAATAATCAGTTCAAACCAACAGCCATTACAATATAACCTCACACTGCAGTGGTGCCTGCAGTCCAAGATGACCTGGTGCATTGGGGGGTGCTCACTCCCTGCACAAGAAGAAGGGGTGTATAATCCTTTCTCTAACGGTACCTTGATGGTGGATGAGCATGCTAACCTAAAAGCCGCGCACCACCCTTTTATAATCAATTATACGACCACCCCATAATTCATTAGCATTAAGCCTCCCTTTTACCATTTCTATATTTCTGCTACCATAATTAAATATTTTTACTTTCTTATTGGCTATTTAACACTAAACATCATCTTAATTAACATCTGCATAAATACCACTCCAATAAGTATCAATACAGGTAGGGTGACCAGATGAGGGGACGAAAATATCGGGACACATGGGCGGGGGTCCGCCAGCAGAGCAAAAAAAAAAAAAAGCCGAGTCCTGCCCCAGCTGAGCAAAAAAAAAAAAAATTATTGGGACGTCTGGTGACCCTAAATACAGATAACATGCTGTCAACACATTCACATTTTGTCTAAACCACTTGTTAAAACCAAATATGTTTACAACATGACCTGGGGTTATGTCCTAGCTTATCTCTAACTTGCCTTTCAATTGTCTCACTTCACTCAGATATTACTTTTCTTATTATTATCAAGCCCAAATTTAGGCCCACAAATTGCTCTCTACTCACATTTCAGCATATTGCTATTTAACATAAGCAAGCATCATCTCTACCGGCGGCCCTGGGGAGATCTCGGCTTTCAGGTTTTGGGGGGAGTTTCTGGAAAGAAAGACTCTGCTTTTTCTGTTTGCAGGAATATTTCCTACAACCCCCTGAAGCAGATCTTTGCCGACCAATTTGACAGCCTGCCCCACCTGCGCTCTCTGTAAGTGTGAACAGCAGCACAGACACTGAAGAGCTCTGCCTCCCCTAAAGCCCCTTGAGCCTGTCGCCTCAGGCCAGGTGGAGAGCCAAGCTAGCTCATGTCTTCTGTTGCATTGATTTTTACAGGAGTATTGAAGGTCTGGAGATCCCCAACATCCAGACTCGCATGTTCCAGAAACTCACCAATCTGTCTCACATGTGAGTACTTGGGAGTGGGGAAAAGGATTGGGAGCTTCTGTTGCTATGGTAGAAGTTAGTGCCAGGAAAAATTAAACAAACCGGGCTCAATCCTCAGTCGATATGTCCTTCTGCCATGCCCAAAAAACAGCTGGATCTCCCCAGACAGATATTCCTATGCCACCCCGCACAGAGAGTGTGCCAGGATCAAGACACTGCTTTCTGGGAATCCCTAGCTGGCAAAAAGGCCATTGGAGGGTCATAGCCAACAAGGCTTAGTTTAGTCTAAACTGTGCCAAGAGAGATGGGGGAACAAGTTCCAGGTCTGGGGACACACAAACGCCACAATATTTAAAGGTGTTTTACCCATAAGCATTAATCTGTGTGTGAAGGTTATAGCGTTAGATTATAGTTGATAGTGAAACTGAAAAAGGTACATTTTCAGGCCAGATAGTATAAAGCTGTTGTTTAGTTCTCTGAAAACAACTGCTAAATAACCCAATGAGTGGTCCTTTTGGCACACTGCTTGGGCATAATGAGTTAAGAACAATACTGATGTATTGATACACACAGGGCCGGATTAACCTTTTGTGGGCCCGGTGCCAAACATATTTGTGGGCCCCCATGGAGGCAATGGAGCATGGTGCAGGGAGGTCAGTCCCCAGAGCAAGGGGCCAGCCAGGGGCAATGGGGCCTGGCATGGCAGGGGCGGCCCCACTCCGCCCAGCCCAGTGCAAGGGCACTATTTACTAACCGGCAGTTGCCAGACGCCCAGTGGCCCACCTGGCCCTGTGCTGCCAGCATGCCCCTTCCCCTCGGGGTCGGGCCCATGCCACACCACACAGCTCTCCCACCCAACACCCCCCAACTCCCTATGGCCAGACAGGGCCGGCTCTAGGCACCAGCAAACCAAGTATGTGCTTGGGGTGGCATGTTTTCAGAGGCGGCATTCTGGCCATCTTTTTTTTTTTTCCTTCGGGCAGCAAAAGCCTAGAGCCGGCCCTGGCATCGCACCCTGGGGCCGCCGCAGTTCGCGCCGTGGGGGAGCAGCACCTGCACCTTGTGGCTGGGCCGGGCAGGCTCCGAGCAGGGGACACTCGGGCTGGGGATTGCCCCGCGGGGCACATGGACCGGCCTGCGGGTGCCGCAGGGCAGCCCCCCCCCAGCGCCACAGCCGGGGCTGAGCGAAGCGGCCCGAGCTGCCCAAGGACTGCGGCAGGGCAGCCAGCAGCAGCCATAGAGGGCGGGGCGCTGCAGTCCGGGGCCCGCATCCCACTCTCTGGGGCTACGCTCCCTCTGTGGCTCCCCTACCCTGGCTCCTCAGCCCCCTGCCGGGGCGGTCCCCTGGCTCTGCCCTCCCGGGTCCCGGCCAGTCCTGGAGGTGGGAGCCCTGGCTGGAGGGACCCTGGGCTGAGGCGCAGCCCGGGAGCCCCGCTGCTTACCCCGACCCTGCCAGCACCGGACTGGATGGAGGCGAGGGGGGGGGTGGGCGGAGTTAGCACTGATGGGGGGGAGCCCAGGACTGGGGCGGCAGGGGGTGTGGGTGGCGGGGGGGAAGAGAGAGTCCAGGGCTGGGGCGGCAGGGGGTGTGGGTGTGGGTGGCCACTGGTGGGAGGGAGGGAGAGCCCAGGGCTGGGGTGGGGGGCAGCCAAAGATTTTTTTGCTTGAGTCAGCAAAATAGCTAGAGCTGGCCCTGTGGTCAGAGCCCCCCGGACCCACTATTCCCAGCACCCACCCCAGACCCCTCCACAAATGCACAGCGCCCTGCACACCACCACACCTGCCCAGTGCTCCCCTGCTCACAACCCCACCACAACTGCCCAGCACCCCCCCCAGTGCCCCAACACACACATATTCCCTGCCCCCTCACAGCCCAGCACCCCCCTCCATGCCCGTAAGAGACCCACTCCCCCATGGCCTGCCTCCCAGCCACACTCACTGGCCCTGCTGGGAGGCCAGGCTGAGCTGCCAGTGCAGCCAGGGCTGGGCCTGGGGTGAGGAATCGCTCCGGCTCCTTGGGAGTGGTCCTCCCTGAGGACCCACCTGCCTGGAGAGGCCTAGCCAAGCACCTCCCTCCCCACCACTGTCGTCCCCACCCACTGTCTGAGACCTAAGACTGACCAGGCTTCTGCACCAGTCCCAAGCGGCTCAGCTCCGAGATGACAAGCGAGGCTCCAGAGGTGGTGGGAAGCAGAGACTGCCCACAGCTGGAGGTGCACTGGGGTCCAGCCAGGGGGCAGAGAGAAGCAGGGGGGTGGAGGTGGGGATGGGGACGGAGAGGAGCCCTCGGCCAGCCGGCGGGCAGCAGGCTGAGAGCAATCGGTGGGCAGGGGGAGCCAGCTGGGTCTCGGGGGGGCCCTTCTTAGCAAGGGCCCTGCTCCGCCATTGTAAACCCAGCACTGGATACACAAACTGGACAGGCAGCTAGAAAAATGGGGGGAAATTTCACTAACCAGCCAGCTTTGAGCGGCTTTGTCTTTTCTTGCAGAGAAAAAAGCAGTTAGTTTTCTCCAATTATAAATGTTTAAGCATACACAGTACAAGATAACTGTACATTTCACTTTCTGTCATTGGTCGGTTTGGATTAAAAACCTGGGTACGTTTTGCACCAGTAATGTTAATGAGCAATAGAAAAGGACATTGTTTTCTCCCCCCTTTTATGTGTAATTAGAACAGAAATGAGGCTTGCTTTGAAGTTTATCGTCCTTTTAAAATGCAGCGTTTTGCCAAGCTGATATAGGATTACTTTTATGAGGTTTTAAAAGACGGGATTTATATGAAATAACCCTTGGATAAAATGTGAATCCCTGTTAATGGAATTTTAAAGGTTTTAATGATGGATTGATTTTTAAATGTTGTATGTTGATAGAGGTCCTGAGTTGGAGGGAAACTCTGTACGCATTAGTTTAAAGTACTGAATAGTTATTGATTAAAATGCATCATTACACAGTACATGAGTCAATGAAGTACTTAGGCACATGCTTAAAGTTCTGCAGATGCCTAAGTGCTTTGCTGAACTGGGGTCAGGATGCACAGCGAGGGTGATTGCTTACACGTTGACCTTGCATTTGGGGATAAAAAGCAGCTGTAATCTTGTACGAACGTGGGCATCCCAAACAAGGAAATTGGCCCATGGGTGGTGCAGAGCCATCACTCCCCCTTAAGGGAGGGCCTGCGATTTTCAACCCCATCCTTGATCCTGAGGGGATTGAGTGCTCGTGAGCCTAAAGGGCTGCATATGCTGGCTAGAGCCTTGCAAAGTCCTTGGTGCGGCGTAGACTTCCTCATCGCTAGCTCATGTTTCCAGCTCCTGCCCTGTGCCCCTCGCCCATGCTGCCACATCTCACTCAGTGTTTAGACATTTATGATACGTTTAGGTTGAATCTGCTCCAAGGAGATGAAAAGAGATGGAAGGAGAAGGGCCTGGGGAATGTTTGGGGGAGGTGAGGTGGGGAGAGGAAGGAGGAGCAAAAGGGGAGGTGCATGAGGCTCTGTGCCAGGTGGGCAAGCCTCTTCCCAAGTTAGCCTCTAGGGATGGAGCCCCTGTCCTGGGCATGGATCTAACGCAGGCGATATCCCTTTGTCTGGCAGCTACTTTAAGAAGTTCCAGTATTGCAGCTACTCTCCGCACGTGCGCAGCTGCAAGCCCAACACCGACGGCATCTCCTCCTTCGAGAACCTCCTGGCCAATATCATCCTCAGGGTCTTTGTCTGGGTCATCGCGTGCATCACCTGCTTTGGGAACCTCTTTGTCATCTGCATGAGGTCCTTCATCGTCACAGAGAACAGCCAGCACACCATGGCCATCAAATCGCTCTGCTGTGAGTCGGGGGTGGGGATGGAGGGGCTGGCTAGGACGATGTCAGGCAACAGAGAGAGAGAGAGAGTGTGTGTGTGTGTCCATCCGTCCAAGGGCAAAATTTGGCCTTCTGTTAACAGCAGCTCTATAAGGCTTATTGAGCCCATGGGACTGTTGCTAAGGGTTACCCTCATGGGTTGATGCTCCACCCTTGTCTCCGTCCCAGGTGCAGACTGTCTGATGGGAATCTATCTCTTCTTCATTGGAGCCTTTGATCTCAAGTTCTCCGGCGAGTACAACAAGCACGCCCAGGTGTGGATGGCGAGCATCCAGTGCCAGCTGGTGGGCAGCCTGGCCATGCTGTCCTCGGAGGTGTCCGTCCTGCTGCTGACGTACATGACCCTGGAGAAGTACCTCTGCATCGTCTTCCCATTCAGCCATTATGGGGCGGGCAAGAAGCGGACCCTCTCCATGCTGGTCGTCATCTGGCTGTTGGGCTTTTCTCTCACCCTCGTCCCCTTCTGGTGCAAGGAGACCTTTGGGGACTACTATGGGAGGAACGGGGTGTGTTTCCCACTCCAGTCTGACGAGACCGAGCGACCAGGAGCCAGGGGCTACTCCACTGGGATATTTCTGGGTAAGGAATCATCAGGACATGGGGCATGACTGCTCAGCTACAACAGTACCACCAAGCCTTGGGTAGGCACCAGGCAGCTATAGACAGGGGCCTGGAACTTGCTTTCCCATGATTTGTGCTCTGCCCCAGAGTCAAACAGGAAAGTCAGCGTCATGGAAAGGTGCAGTGAGAGGTAGGATGGTCCAGTGGGCAGGGTGCTAGCTTGGGACACACAAGGTCAATTTCTTGCTGCAGCACAGGCTGCCTGTGTGACCTCCAATGGGGATACCCCGCTTCACAGTGCTGCTGTGAGGATAAATGCATTCCAGCAGGAGGTGCTCAGACCCTGCAGTGTTAGGGGCCGCATCAGGACAGCTGACGGTGATTGGTCACATGAGTCCATCAAGAGGCTGCTGCTTGTTGTTATCATCTGGCTCAGTTCAATGTGCAACCAGGCTGCCAGTGGGTGAAATAGGGTTCATCCCACACAGGTAAGGGAAGCAGCAGCCCTTGGTGTTGTGGGGGAGGGAGGGCAGATAGGATGCTGTTACTGTTGCTAGAGATGAAGGGAAAGTGGGAGAGAGCAATCAGCAAACTAGCCCCTTAAGGAACATTGCTGCCAGGGGACCAGGGATGTTTTCCCCATGTTGACCCCTGGTACACACCCGAGGGCTGATGAAAAACATTTTGCAAAACTTAGGAGGTTTTTTTAGCCTTCCCCCTTGACCCCTTCGCGGTCCCACAAAGCCCCCAAGCCTGGTGCAGCATTTCCCAGGGGGCTGAGGTGCACCCCTGCTCTCTGTGGGAGGGGGTCGTAGGGAAGTGTGCAGCACCCATCCATGCCTGTGGCAGCAGAGCTGAGGGTGTGTAGATCCAGGCTGCTGTTATAAATCACTGCTCACCCGCTTGTTACTGCAGGAGAGGGAAAGTGCCTTAACAACCCCCCTGCCACTCCATTGGCCTGAGGCCACCTCCAGCCAAAGCACTCCTGGGAGAGCAGGGCCAGAACCAGACCCTATGAGACCATCGATGGGCCTCAGGCATGCAGGGACTAGAAGATTAGCAGGGTGCAGACACATCTGAGGAGCAGGTGTGGCATTGAGAGTCCTAGCCAGGCAGCAGGACACCCACAGCGCTGCTGCCCTTGATTCACAAACGCTCTCTGGTATGTTAGCGAGCAGAAGCTTCCTGTTTAATCACCTTACAGCTCAGGTTGGCTGTGTCCACATGGCTCTCGCTGCTCCCTTGGGGAAGAAAGGGATCATTGGCCCTAAGAGGCTGCTTTATTGGAAGGCCTCTGCTAGCTGATGTTTCACCCACCGTGTGTGGCCCAGGCACACCGGAGCTGGCTCTCTGACACACTCATGGCTGGTTGTTGTCACCCCAGGTCTGAACCTCATTGCCTTCATCACCATCGTGTTCGCCTACACCAGCATGTTCTACTCCATCCACACCACGGCCACCAAGACGGCCGAGCGCAGCGTCTTCTCCAGGGAAGTGGCCATCGCCAAGAGATTCTTCTTCATCGTCTTCACTGACGCCCTCTGCTGGATCCCCATCTTCCTCCTGAAGCTTCTCTCCCTGCTGCAGATGGAAATACCAGGTGACTGACCCGGCTAAGATGGAGCCCACGCCAGCATCAGCCTTTCTGTACAGAGAGGCCTTGATATGCAGAGCACTGCCATGCGGTGGCTCCCTGCATGTGTTCCTCATGCGCTGAGTAGGTGCCCCAGAGCACCTGCATTATAATGAAGCTGTACAACAAATGCCATGCCAATCCTGGCCTCTTACCGGCTTCATACTACCCCACCTCGCCAATGCAATCCCTCCTGCTCGCAGCAGGGGGCACCTCATTAGGCCCAAAATCAGTGCAGAGCTGGCCTGCAGTGCCTGGCACCCATGCTCAAAATGCTCCATCCCTGAGGGGTAAAAGCTGAGAGACAAGAGCCAGACAAACTCAGGTCACTTCTGTCCCTTGACACACACACACACACCCCGCTGAGCCCAGGCAGCACCTTCCATCTCCTGTTGGTTGACAGCCTCTTGCCACCAGCCTCATCTTTCCATACAGAGATGCCCTGGAGTCTAGGCAGGTTCCTCTCCAGTTCTGGCCGGCCACCTCATTGGAGCTGGCTCCCAGTCTGCAGCTCAGAGCAGGCTGGGGCCTGGAGAAGGAAGCAGCGGTTCAGTCTCTAGGTCTGTGGTGGGTAGGGGCAGCCTCCTGTGATGGGGAAAGTTGAGCCTGTGTTCTCATGGCTGCATTTGATTGCAGCTATGTTGGGGATGGCGCAAGGTAAGGTAAAGAGAGAGAGAGAGTGTGTGTATGTGTGTGAGAGAGAGAGAGAGAGAGAGAGAGCTGTCACTGGCCTCCTCTTTAGTGGCTTTTCCTGCCATACACACTCCCTTTTGCCCACCTCGACATGCAAGGCTCACCTGATTTGCACCCCTGCTGAAAACCAAATAGGTAGAAGTTACATCAGCACTTGCTTTGTGAGCAAAGTACACCCAGAGTGTTACTTTCTCTGCCATGTGTCACCACTGAATTCAGCCCAGTGATGGGAGTTGCACTCCCTGCTCCAGGCAGGCCGTAGGTCCTTAGCTCTCCCCCATTATGCCTGCGTAATTCAGCTCTTTGCTGTAAATGTCCTTTAGCTGAAAGACTCTTATTGCACAATGGAGTGAGGTGTCTATAAATGATCCTCCTCAGTGTGTGATGTGTTCAGCACTAGAGGTGTCCTAGCAGGTTAATGCATTTTTCTTTGAGTTTTGGAGCCCTGGGTTTGAATCCCAGCTCAGCTCACGGGTGGTAATGCGTTTGGTGCCTCTCTCATTCTGGTCCATTTGCTCACATAACAAAATCAATCAGCCTGCAGACCAGCTAGAGAGGCTGTGCATTGTCAGCTACCACTCATGCCCGTGAAGAGCCAGCCTCTGCTCTCACGTAGGTGTGAGATCTGGAGTAGCTCTGACTTAATTGGGGTTCTTCTGGCTTTACGCCTGTCTGCCTGAGAGCAGAATGTGGCCTTGAGTCTCCAGGCTAAAAGCCTCTGGCTGAATTATTTCCTAGGATGTGGGCAACCAACCCCCATGGTTACTAACATACTCCCCTTGTTGGAACAGGCACCGTGACGTCATGGGTGGTCATTTTCATCCTGCCCATCAATAGTGCCTTGAACCCCATCCTGTACACCATCACCACCACCCCCTTCCAGGAGAAGCTCAAGCTGTGTTTGCAGAAGAAGCAGCTGCAGCAGTCGTCACTTCAGGACCTAGAAGAGTCCAGAAAGAGCTTTTCCCTGCTATCCACACACACCAGCAGCACCTGACAGTCCCCAGCGGCTTAGCCTTGGGAGTGGTGACAGGCCTCACTGCTTCATGCATGCAGCTATGAAGGACCGTGTCTCTGTCCTCCCCAGGTGCCTCCCCTGGCTGGTTCATTGCCCACCCCAATGACAGCCATCTTGGGGGCAGATGATGCCAAAGGGGAGCTGCCACCACTTGCCAAGTGCTAGTCATTATCTCAGCCAGCTCTCGACCATGGAGGGAATACCACTCCCAGCTGCAGCAACAGTGCCTAGTGTTGTATAGGAGGCTACAGAAGAAATGGTCACAGATAGCCGATGGGGCCTGAACTCTGCTTGTCTGCCCCAAGATTGAAAGCACTGGAACGCTGCCTGCCCCATGCATTCTCATTGCTGCGTGTCAGCGCTTTGGGTTTAGCTGATGCTGGTTCAGCACAAGGATTAACCAGCTGCTGTGGAATGGATGTTGTATTTCATCCTAACCCTCTGTCGCATGGTCCCTGTAGCTCCCTGCCCCTTCGCCCTGGAGCCAAGCTGCAGGGGCAGCTGCTGCAGCAGCCTCTGGAACAGCTGCCCCCACTGCAGAGCCCCAGAGAGGTGTTTTCTGCATTGCCGGAAGCAAGTCTGGGTCCAGAGGAAGGAAGGTGGGAGAAGTCTTCAGTGCTTTGATTTAGGGCCAGAGGCAGCTAGAGCAGACGCCAGCGCGATCCTGGCGAGAGTTGTGGGCCACTGGTTATGCCATGTGGAGTGATGAACTATTCAGGCTGCCCTCAGCCCTTGGGGAAGCCTTGGCTGTGGGACCCAGGCAGCCGCTGCTAGTGTGGGTGAAATGCTGCAGAAGGAAAGGGAGGCGGTGCTGTCCCGACACTTTCTACACCACCCTGACTGCTGTGTTCAGAGCAGGTGTCCCCATTCAGGGCCTGCTCCCCCAGCCACCACGTTCAGCAAGGACTCACAGCCGCGCCCTGTTCTCCAGCCGTACCTGGGCTCGTGCCTTTAGAAAATGAATCCTCGCAACTGAGGCACCAACTCCCCTGGGCTAATGCAGCCTGTGCCCAAAACCATTCCTAGGAAACTGCTGCAGCAATAAAATAGCAGCACCGGGGCAGTTGGTAATGGTTGGTGTTCCTTCCCTAGCCACTGCTCCTCTCGGATTTACTCCTGGGAAGGAGGCAAGCGTTGCCCTTCTCCAGGGCGGGCTGGGCTCTGCCTTGGCAATAGCAGTTCTGTCTCCCTGCCATACGCTGTGTGGGCTGGCTAGCCCCACCCCAATCCCCGGTGAGATGAACCTGGCTGGGCGTACCACCCCGAGCCCCACTGGTGGCCTGGAGACAGAGGAGTTTGTTTCAGCCCCACCCAGGGCTGGAGCTACTGACGTTCCCTGCTTGGTTCTGGAAGGATCCCAGCACTGGAGCGGCAGGTTCTCGGCCTGGGGGCACGGCTCACTCTGTGGTGGGGCAGGGAGAGGGAACAGAGCAAGGGATTGAAAGTACCAGCTCTCAGCCCACTGGGGTTCTCTTTGGGCACAGCCTCAGGACCACAGCATGCTGCACATTGTGACCATTGCCTGGAGTCCCAAGGGAGCCACCTCCATGCGTGTTACCCCCGTGCTTTGTGACCTGCACAGAACAGTGAGTGGGAGAGACAGGCTGCCCTAATTATGCCTGTTGGATGCCACAGCTCCTTTGGGAGGGGCTAGCATCAGGTTGTAGCCAAGGCACTTGCAGCTGCAGGGTAGGAGCCCTGGGCAGGTGACCAGGTAGATACCAAGTGCCTGTAGCAGGGAGGAGGAAAGAAAAGGGGGTCGGGGAGAGTGCATCAGAAATGCTGCTGAATGACACTGAGATTATTCTGGAGAGCTATGTTCGTACACATCTTGTGCTAAGCGATGGGATCAGCTGGTAACACTGCAAGGCTCCAGGCAGGCTAAAAACCCAGAGAGTACCACTCTGTGAGCTCGATGAGACGCTGCATTACTGCCAAGAACAGTGGGGCTTTGAGAGAGTGAGAGTAACACATGGAGGCCTTAAATTGACAGGCAGAGTCACACCTTGAGGCATGGATATGACCATTTAATGCACTGCTTGCCCCTCTCCCTCTGACTCCTTTCAGCCCCCCTGTGAGGCCAGCAGTTCAGATAACACCAGCCTCGTTCCTGGGAACGTACCGGCAGCCTCGGCACACAAGGAATTTCCATTGCTTGGCAAACACACTGCCCAGTCCATCAGTCCACCCTGGGGTCCTTGCTGTCTCAACTGGTGCTGATCAGAGCCTGATGCTGAGCCAGGCAGGGACTCTGGAGGAAGGACAGCCCAGCCCCTGCCAGCAGGTCAGAGGAATAGAAAGGAGGCCCTGCCATTTATACTCTGGGGCTAGAGGGAAAGTCAATGGGGGAAATCAAATTGTTTGGGAGCAACGGGAAGGGCCCTCTGGTGGGTGTGAAGCTGACTTGTGTGAGACCCATGCAACTGCCCTGCAATTGCAGGAATAAGAATAGCCCTTACCCATTTCTTTTTGCCTTCCACATGCTTTACAAAACACTAATGAATTACGCACTCGGCCTCATTCTGTCATGACAGGAGGCTTCACACCCCAGCTCTACTACCCTGGAACCTATGTCAGCCTAGTGCTGGGTGAGAAGGAAGCACAGACCGCAGCAGTCAGGGTACATCACGGTTTCGTCATCAGCCAGCGGGTGCCATTAGTACTTTATTATTACACAGAGGAGGAACCGCAGCCCCCTTTGGAGTCAGACAATCTGCAGCGGCTGCATCTGATACAAAAAAGAAGTCCCTTAAATACAAAACACACGTCGCTCTGGTGTTCATCGCCCAGCACCAAGCTCTTACCGCCTGAGTTATATATTAATATTCCAACTGTACAGTATTTATAGATAGAAAAGAAACATTAAAAAAATGAGGCAAGAATCAGTCCCAAACGTTAGTTATACAAAACCAAACACAAACAGAATATAGCTGGTGTGCATTAGAGAGAGGGAAAGTTGGTTACTGGTGAAACTGACAATTTCTACTGCCAGTGGGTTTTGTTGCCTTCCAATTGGAACAATGTCCAGTCATTTGGGTCCCTGGTTAAAAAAGAAACCCCGTCAAGTGCACGTCACGGTCAGACTGTTTGTGAGCTTAGAGGGAAAGTGGGGGAGTGACACGATCAGAACAGTGAGATCCTTGGATCAAAAGTTATGGCGTTGTAGCAACGTGAGTTGCCTTTCACTCCTATTAGCAGTGCAGTGAGCACTGCTTCTTTGGGGGAGGGAATTAAGGGGAGATCAAGTGCCCATAACAATGTGAGCAAACTAGACTGTACTAACCCAATCCCTGCCCATCTGGCTGACTAAAATGGCACTAATGTAGCACAATTTGGGGCAACTCACATTACTCTCTTAGTGGAACCAGACTCTGTACAGTGGAGTTACGAGACCAGTCCCCCCGCACCCTCTGTGGTCACACCTCATTGACCAATGCTATTAAACCTCCCCTGCATCCAGGCTATAGTTTGCCAGCAGTATGATACCTTTTTAGGGTGTCTTCATGTAATGGAGGTGGTGTTCTTCGCCTCCTTCCCCCGCACGCCAAGGCAAATGGAACTCTGACCCTGGGAGTACCTTGATTACTAAACCCAGCCAAAGGGGGATCAGGGAGATGCATTGTGCAATTTTGGTCTCACCCCCAGCCTTGTAATGGCAACCCCCCATGTATAGCTGACACACAGGACAAGGGTGAATGCTTTGGAATTTGGACTCATCAAATTTGGATCTGATCCAATTCATGAAAATGAATGGCTAGGCTCCCACTGGATTCCATGGGGATTAGGACTGGGTCCCTGGTTAGCAAAGCATTTGCACCCTCATTCATCGGTCTACATGGCCCTGTGCTAAAAACGGGTGCTAGAGATTCCCTGCGTCTGATCAAGTAGAAAGTAGAAAGACCTGGAGTTCCTTCCCCAGTGAAATTCAG